CAGGGCTTTGAAACGACTGGGCCAGGCATGAAGCCTGGGTCCTTTTATTTCTACATCCCTCAAGCAAGAGAAGCCAGATTTAAATTTGTATCCATCCCTTCGAGGACTGGAAATAGAAAGAGTGAGTGTGAGAGGCATGCTCTGTTCTTAGAGAGATGGTAGAATGGAAAGGGAAGTGGGCATCCCAGGTTTTGTTCTGATTCTGCCACAAAAGAGCCTGTGAAGGCTGGAATGAGCTCCTTCCTCCGCCTCACCAGTTCCTTCCCGCTCTGTAGGATGAGGCGCTAGGCAGAGGCTCTCTGGTGCTAGTATTTCATGTCCTCTCTCCACCTGTACATCCACATTTGCAGCGTTAGCTTTTCCTCCCTGCTGGACCAAAGTGTTCGGGAGGCTCCTAACACCTGAGACCTGGTGTTTCCCTTTTCCTGCCCTTTCTCAGGTGAAGACCTTGTGTGTTCCAGAGACTTTTTTTTTTAAAAATCATTATTATTATGGCCTGAATTGAGCAGCTGACACTCTGGGGTCTCTCTGGCTTCTCAAGGTGATCAGAGAAAAGAGGAAGGTAAAACTCTTCATATCACATGTTTCTAAATGTTACCTTGCTTTAAATACACAACGCCTGCAGGAAAAGGCCTGGAGCTGGAGTTCTGTGTGACCTTCTTTGCAAGGCCTGGGCTTCAGGGAAGTGGGAGGGAGAGAGTAATCTATGCTGGGAAAAGCCTGATCGCTGATTAGACTTAGGGCCTGTCCATCTTCCCTGCTCTGAGGATGATGAAGCTGAGGCCATGCTCAGTCAATGGAAGTGCCAGGGACAAATGAGAGGCAGTTTTCCATGTCAGCTCCTGTGTCCTGTGTAAGGCTGGGAAATCCGGGGAGCTGTACTTACTGTTGAAAGTTACCCAGTTTTCCCCTGTCTTTACATGGGAGTTTGTGGGGCCTGATTCAACAGCTCCCCCAACCCTGGTGGCAGAGAAAGGAAGCTTCTTCTAAGGGAAGATGAACATAAGTCACTGTGGAAGCTTCAGATACACAGAGAGAAGAAAGTCAGAGACCAAGAGAAAGTTCCAGAGTCTGGAGCCTGAGCAGGCTTGAGTGGAGTAAAGGAAGCGCATGTTGAGGCAGGCAGGACTCTCCAGTCAGGAGCTGATACCCGGGGAGAGGGAAATTCCTTGGCATCCAGGGCTAAGGTCCAGGGAGGGCATGAGAGCACACCAGCTTCGGAGCTGACTTCAGATCATCCAGGGCCCGAGACAAGCTGGGTGACACAAGAGGACAGAGGCAGCAGGCAGCTGGTTCCTCCATGGCTGATAATCCTACCAGACATAGCCGCAGGTTCCAGCAGCCCCGCTGTCAGGGCTCCTGGGTGGGGATTTGGTGAAGAAGGGGACCCGGACACGAACCTAGAGGACAGCCAAGTGAGGCAAGAGGCTTGGAGCTCAGGCTTGGGGCTGGCACCAGCCTGGAGCAAGGTGGGCCATTAAACTGTCTGACAATGAAGCAGACGGGTGGGGAGGGCGGTGGGTACACTCTGTACTGGAGCTTCTAGGCAGCTCTCAAAGTAGACTCTGAGCCTGTCTTTCCAAATAACACCATTCAGTCATTCATTCATTTATTCAGTCAGCCAGCCAGCCAGGCAGTCAAGTCAGTCTATAATTGCCAGCCACCCAGCAGCTTCTGCACGCCAGGCACTGTGTGAGGATAGAGATGGACAGGGACTAAGGACTGCATGGACACAGTGGGAGGCGGACCTTGGCCCCGAGTTCACCAGCTGTGGAGCCGGCAGGTGCTCCACAAACATTTAGGTGTGTGTTTGGGTAAAGGAAGGGTTAGATGAGGAGGAGGAACCATCTGCACACCAGAGTCTTAAGGATGAATTGGATTTTCCAAAGGCCACGCCTAGTAACACTTTGTGTTTTGAGTGCCGCTCTGAATCAGGGACCTCAGTTTCATGGGGATCGCTGAGGGAAGGACTGAGGGACCCCTGTTCTGTGTCCCCAGGAAAGGGAGATTCCTGGGCAGGGAAACTCTTCAGAATCTGACCATCATGGAGAGAAGGAGAGCCAGGAGAGGTACACTAGGGGGCTGGTCACCTGCTGCCCACCCCAGCGCCTTCATCTCAGCCATGTCACGGTGTCCACTCTGGTTCTTCTAGAGTGAAAACAACTCGTGTTCGAGGCAGGCATTTTAGCGTTTTGGCTTTTCCCTTCCTCTCTCCGACCCTGGTCCCTGAGTGATGACAAACCGAAGCTTATTTCTACCAATTCTAATTCATGCCCTTCCTACCTTAGCCAAGCCAGAACCACCCGCTGTTTAGAGCCATTCGAATATTAAGCATCTTTATTTCTACTTAAAGGGATTTATCTTCGCACCGATTAAGGCTCACCCACAAGGCAAGCCTCTTCCTTTGTGCTCACACTGCCACTCCTCACGACTTTCCAGAACTGCGAGTGACCCAGCTCTCAGCCAGGAAGGACTCCCCTTTCCACCTCTAATCAATTTTCTGCCTGGGCTTAATTTCCTCCATAGACATTAGGGAGTCTCAAGGAATCAAAACAAAGGGTAACACAGGATTTCTGTGCAGAATTCTTTTCCTCCTGGGGTTTGTTTTTTTAACCTTGGTGAGTTTTTTCATCTCTTGTGGCCACAGATGCCCCAATCATCCCTTGAGGAGTGTGGACTAAAGGCTCTCTGAGATCCGCAGTCTCAGTGGCTCTGAACTGCACTGCGTCTCTAACCCTCGAGAGTTCGTGGTCTGTCGGGGGAAAGTGAGATTCCTCATCAGAGAGCTCCTAGAATGACAGGCATGGCTGGCATATGTTAAGCTCACCACTGAGATTTTTTGAATAAATGAGGAAACAAACCCTGCTCTGGGACACCATCGGTTTGAGCAGGAACGGCTCTGACCCTCAGAAGGCCCCCAAGAGATACTGAGCCAGAGGGAGGAGGAAAACCTTGCAGCCAGCAGGATCTCTAGGTATTGAGGCTGGAGCTAGACGTGGGCAAAAGGTGAGAAGGATTCAGCATTGAGTATCCCATGGATGGGCTGCAGGGAGGCAGGTAGAAAAGGGATTTATTTTGGGTTTTCAGGTACGGGGCAGTCTAGTCTGATTAAAAAGGAGGAAAAGGCCAGGGCCAGGTGTCTGGGTGGAGTGGAGGGGAAAAGGTGATCCCAGAAGAGAGAGTAGCCCCTGAAAGTCCCTGAAGTAGGAGAAGGGTAAAGGTGCGTTGGTGAAAGCAAAGCAGGTTTTCCCGGATCAGCAAACAGTCAGGGGAAGGGAGGGGAGGGGAGGAGAGTCATAGCATAGATTATTCTGAATGTGCGTAGTTTAATGGGATTGGAAAAAGATGAGGGAAATGGTCTTGGACTCTGAGACAAGGGGTCTACAATCAGTCAATTTCATTGTTTCTAACTTCCACCTTCACTAAGGCAGACAAAGAGTGCCCACCGTCAGCTCCTCTGCTGCCCCTCCCTTTCCCACCTGTTCACGTGTGCGAGAGTGCTCTGTCCCACAGAACGTGGGGGAAACAACCATCTCAATGACAAGGACGGCAGGAGGCAAGGCCTCAGCAGGACTCAGCTCTCCTCCCAGGATTAACTCATGAAACCCTCCCAGAAGCCCGCTGCCCATCTCTTCCTCAGGGCAAACCCTGCACCTGGGTCTGAGGGTAAGGGTGGCGGTGAGTACCAGGCCGGTGACATCATTGTGAGCCAGCCAGTGCCAAAAAATATCAGGTGGTATTCATCACAAAAGCTGAGCCAACGGCTGATGAGGAGGGTAGTGTGAATCATGTGTGACAGGTGAGGAATGAAAACAGAGCGCTCAGGAGCTTCTGTTTCCTTGAGGCAGGGCTCACTCATCTTATAAAAGCCAGCTGGCTATTGCCTTCACACCAAACCCGAGGGACCACGCAGCCGATTCTGCTCTGTAAACCAGGTGAGTCTCTGATTGCCACAAATTGGGAATTCGAGTTTATTTTTTCATTATTAGAAATTAACCAAAGGCAAACATGTGTAAGAGGGTTAATGCAGGGTTTCAATGGGAGTTAGAGAACAGCAGAATATCTTTAAGTTAAATTACAGTCTGGGTTTGAAGGGACCTTAGAGATACGATTAGGGCTGCCACCTCAATAAATAGTCATTGACCTGGGAGTGTGGGAGTCTGAGTTCAAGAGCCCATGAGACGTTCATAGCAGAACTAGGGCTCAGGCCCAGAGCAGTCTCAGTAACACCACGATTTCCCCTGATATAGTATTTATACAAATCTTAATTTATTAGATGGCTCTCTACTGAGCATTTATTCCATTTAAGGCAGTACGCTGGGAACTTTGGAAAAATCAATGCCTAACGAACTTCCTTAACAAACATAAAACCTAGCAGGAAGGTAATACAAGTATATAAATAAATGAAATGCAAAGTAGATAGTAATTGGTATGAGGGAGAGGGGCAGGGAAGGGCTGTGCACTTTTGGGGAACCTTGCTCAAGAACAGCCTCCTGGGGGGGTGGCAGGTGATGTGAGCTGTGACGGGCGAGGATTTGGACAAGCAGAGATGGGAAGAAAAGCATTCAGAAGGGTCTATGTAGTCAACGACGAGAAGAAAACCACAGGGGCTTAGATTCATATAAAGCCATCCGCAGGCTTTTTACATGGTAGTAGGAGAGGATAGACTGCAGGGGTCTGAAGCCACTTTCCAAAAGACCTAATCTGTGGGCCCGCCTCACATCCCTCAGAAGCCAGCTTTCTTAGGGCATTTTTCTGAAAGAGATATAAAGTGCTTTGGGTAGGAAGGGAGCCAAAAAAATAACTCCAATGAAACGGAGCAGAAGAAATTGCCTTTAAGCTCCTCCTCTTAAAAGGACCTGAAAATTATCAAAGCTTGTTTCACTTTTAAATGTAATGGGGGAGCTAGGGGAGATGGAAGGCTTTCTCTTCTAAAAGGGCCGGAAATGAAATCTACTTGGCATTGAGTTTGTATCCATGTTTCTTTAATTGAATCACTGTGTCATCTTTTTGTCTCTAGAAAAAAAAACACACACACACAATTGAAACATGAATTCCCAGCAGCAGAAGCAGCCCTGTGCCCCACCCCCTCAGCTCCAGCAGCAGCACGTGAAACAGCCTTGCCAGCCTCCACCCCAGGAGCCATGCGTTCCCAAAACCAAGGAGCCTTGCCACCCCAAGGAGCCTTGCCACCCCAAAGTGCCTGAGCCCTGCCAGCCCAAGGTTCCAGAGCCCTGCCCCACCAAGCTACCTGAGCCCTGCCCTCCAACAGTCACTCCAGCACCAGCCCAGCAGAAGACCAAGCAGAAGTAATGTGGTCCGCAGCCATGCCCTGGAGGAGCCAGCCACCAGATGCTGAATCCTCTAACCCATTCTGCTTATGAGTCCCATTTGCCTATTGACCCTGCAGTTAGCATGCTGTCACCCTGAATCATAATCCCTCCTTTGCACCTCTAAAAAGATGTCCCTTACCCTCAATCTGGAGGGCTCCTGAGACTCTGAGTAAAGCTGAAAGTCTCACTGACTCAGCTAGTCTTCTTATTGCTCAGGGTGCATTTGAGAAGGGATCTGGGGAGGAATCAAGTGAACCATCCCTGGTCTTCCCTCAATAAACAACTTTTAACTGACTGTATGTGTCACTGGTTGATTAAATCTCTGTTGCTTTCTCAGTGTGAACAGGAATGAACACTGTGAGGGCTGGTTGTGAGGTCTGTAGTCGCAAGTGCCCGATCCTGACACTGAGAATGTGTGTGAATGTGTATAGCTGCTGTACACACGGGACACTCCCGGACTGACAACGGGAGCACATTCAGGACCACCCAACCAATCCGTTACTTTGGGTAGGCACAGCTAGAGCAAGGCTTGTTATTTTCATCCTAACATTTATATCTTAATGATTTACAGTGAGTCACACGTGGGTGTAGATGGTGCCTGCTTCAAGCCATCATCATCTTTATTTTGTTTAGTGGATTCCCTTTTAAAAATTACTACAAAGAAATAGTGCTTGTGCATAATCCAGCCTAGTGATCCGTTCTGCCCTCATCTTCCCTTTCTGAGTCCCCCCAATACATGGAGCCAAGCACTTGAACACTCGTACTCACACTCACAAACACCTATCCACTCACACACTCACAAGGAAATACTCCCACACACAGACATTCAAACACACACACACACACACGTAGATCTCACTCACACATGCACACCACTTCACACACCTGGATCTCCCAAACCACCCAACACTGACCTACACACACACATACACTCCATTCTCTCTCTCTTCCTCTCTCTCTTTCTTTTTCTCTCTCCCTCCCCTGCTCTAACTTAACCACCTTAGTCCTAGTTTTTTTTCATCGAGTGCCCACTGCGAAGATGCCTGTTGCTGCAGCAGGAAGGAGAGTCAAATCCACACCACCTGCCCTAGAAGAAGCCTAAGAGAGGTGATCATCAGTCTCCTTCCCTTACAAACATAAGCTCTCAAAAAAGTACAAACACACTCTTCTGTCTCTACACATACATGCATGAGCACACACACACTGTACTTCTGTACGTAAAACATAAAAGTTGAATATTTTATCCGACTGCAGAATACACACATTTGTCTCATCGGCACATCAAATATTAGATCACAAACAAGTCTCAACAAACTTTAGAACTCAAAACCATATCAAGTATATTTTCTTACAATGAAATAAAACTAGAAATCAACTGAATAATTTTTTAAAAAACTTTAAAATCTGTGCAAATATGTGGAAATTAAACAATATGCTCCTGAATTGGTCAATGAAGTTGACCCAATTGCTCAATGGGTCAATGAAGAAATTTAAAAAACTAAAATTAAAAAATTAAAAATTTCTTGAAACAAAAACAGAAATACAGGATATCAAAACCTATAGAACACAGTAAAAACAATAGTGAGAGGAAAGGCTTTTTTTGTTTTGTTTTGTTTTGTTTTTGTTTTTTCGGGTTTTTTTGGCAATAAATGCCTACATAAAACAAAAACAACTTTAAATGAAGAACTTTATATGCATCCCAAAGAACTAGCAAAGCAAAAACAAACCAAACCCAAAATTAGTATAAGGAAAGAAATAATAAAGATAGAGCAGAAATAAATAAAATAAAAACTAAAAAGCTTTACAAAAGATTAATGAAATAAAAGTGAGGTTTTTGAGAGAAGACTCAAATAAATAAAATCAAAATGGATAAAAGATACATTACAACTGATATCACAGAAATACAAAGCATCATAAGAGACTATTATGAATAATAATACACCATCATATGGAAAACCTAGAGGAAATGAATAAATTTCTGGACACATACAACATACCAAGATCGAACCAAGATCAAACAGAAACCCTGAATAGACCAATAATGAGTAATGAGATTGAAGCAGCTCTAAAAAGTTTCCCAACAAAGAAAAGCCCAGTGATAGATGGAATTACTGATGAATTCTACCAAATACTTAAAGAAGAACTAACACTGATTCTTCTCAAACTAGTTCAGAAAATTGAAGAGCGAATTCTTCTAAAATCACTCCATCAGGCTGGCATTATACCAATATGAACACAAGACTAGAACATGAAAAAAAGGGAAAACTACAGGCCAAAATCCTTAATGAACATAGGTGCAAAAGTCCCCAAAAATGCTAGCAAACCAAATTCAACAGCACACTGAAAAGATCATTTACTATGATCAAATGAGATTCATGCCAGGGATGCAAGGATGGTTCAACGTATGCAAAGCAATAAATGTAATACATCACATTAACAGAAAGAAAGACAAAAACCATATGATCATTTCAATAAACACATAAAAAACATTTCACAAAATTCAGCATCCTTTCATAACAAAAATTCTCAACAAATTAGGTAGAGAAGGTATATACCTCAATGTATAAAGCCCATATGTGACAAACCCACAGCTAACATCATACAGAATAGAGAAAAGCTGAAAGCTTTCTTTCTAGGATCTGGAAGGGGGAGGGGCGGGGGGTGGGGAGGTGGGAAGAGATAGCATGGGGAGAAATGACAGATACAGGTGAGGGGACGGAAGGCAGCAAACCACACTGCCATGTGTGTACCTATGCAACAATCTTGCATGTTCATCACATGTACCCCAAAACCTAAAATGCAATAAAAAAAAAAAAAAAAAAAAAGAATACCCACCCTCACCACTTCTATTTGACGTAATACTGGAAGTCCTAGCCAGAGCACTAAGGTAAGAGAAAGAAATGAAAGACAACCAAAATGTAAAGAAAGAAGTCAGATTATCCCTGTTTGCTGATGACATGATCATACATAGTAAAAAACCTAAAGATGCCACCAAAACACTCTATGAACTGATAAATGAACAAGTAAAGTCACAGAATACAAAATAATCATACAAAAATTGGTAGCATTTCTATACATCAATACTGAGCCACCTGGAAAGTAAATCAAGAAAGCAATGCCATTTAAAATCGCCACAAAAAAAAATGCCTAGGAATAAATTTAACAAAGGAAGTGAAAGGTTTATAAAATGAAAATTGAATTACTCTGATGAAAGAAATAAGAGTGGATACGGAAAGATGGAAGGATGTCTTATGTTCATGGATTGGAAAAATTAATATTGTTAAAATGACCATATCACCCATAGCAATCAGTAGATTCAATGCAATCCTTCCCAAATGTCCATGACATTTTTCAAAGAAATAGAAAAAAAAATCCTTAAATTCACATGGAATCACAAAAGACATATAATAGTCAAAGCAATCTTGAACGAAAAGAACCAACACAAACCTGGAAGCTTCACACTACCTAACTTCAAAATATACTACAAAGCTATAGTAACACAACAAAAAAGGCATGGCATTGGCAGAAAAAAAGAAACATGAAAACCAATGTAACAGATAAAGCACTCAGAAATAAATCCACATATTCACAGTCAGCTGATTTTCAAAAATGACCCCAAGAACATAAACTGGGGAAAAGACAATCTCTTCAATAAATAGTTCTGGGAAATGGAGCAACCATATGCAGAGAAATGAAAATAGATTCCTATCTTTCATCATATACAAAAACCAACTCAAGATGGATTAAAAACTTTAATATAATACCTGAAACTATGAAACTGATAGATGAAAGCATTGGGGAAATGCTACAGCACATTAGTGTGAACAAAGATTTTTGAAGAACTAGAAAGCATAGGGGTTTCACTATGTTGGCTGGGATAGTCTCGATCTCTTGACCTCATGATCCACCCTCATGAATCCTAAAGTGCTGTGATTACAGGCATGAGCCACTGCACCTGGCCTGAAGAGACATTCTTTAGTGTACTTTACTTTGAGCTAATTGCTTCTGCAGACTAGGCAGCTGAAAGCAGGGTCCATAGGAGAGATGTCATTGAACATTCCCTGTGCCAGGCAGATACCACAGAACCCTCAGCCTCTGGAGCAAAACCCCAGAATTCTTCCCTATCCCTTTCACTCCTTCACCCATTCCTGTCTCTCCACTCTGGCCTCTGTACATGTTGGGCATGCTTCTGTCTTCAGGTTGTTTTATTAGAAATTCTCTTTGACTAAATATTTACTTTTCCAAACATCCATGTATCTCAACTCCCTCACCTCCTTTCTCTGCCAAATGCCAAAATGTCAGCTTCTCAATGAGGCCAAACTTGACAGTACATTCAAGTCATAACAACCCAGTCCACCCATTTTCATTCTTGCAATTACTCATACTGCTTTTTCATAGCAGTAATAAATATTTTCCTGTATAATTTCATGTAATTATTTATTGCCACTTAATCTTCTATCATTACCACTAGCATTCCAGCTCCAGGAGGAAAGGGAATGTTGTTTTTCTTCACTCATATATTCCAATTAGTGGCACACTGTGGGTGTACAGAAAATTTTATGAATGAACACATTAAAAAGGGAGCTTCATTGACCTGAAATTAAAGAATTCTCTAATTAAAGAATCTCTAATGTCCAGTTGCTACAGTCATTCAAATTGCCAGGTGAAGCGGGATCTCTGATCCTGAGCCTTTGCCCCAGCATGGCAATGTGGCTGCCTGATCCTTTTAGGAATTCCAGAGGGTTTCTGTGTTAGTCAGGAAATCACAGCCCAGCCTGGCTATTTCACTTCCTTATGACCGAGGCTGCCTGACCCTATAACTGGATATTCCTCAGAGCTGCCACTCTTAAAATTAAATTCTAGATCTGTAATAGAGAAGCAAGCAAGTCAGAATTCTTGGTATTCATGTCTGTTTTGGTCTTGTTTTGTTTTTGAGATGAAGTTTTGCTCTGTTTCCCAGATTGGAGTGCAGTGGCACGATCTTAGCTCACTACAGTCTCCACCTCCAGGGCTCAAGCATTCCTCCCACCTCAGCCTCCCAAGTAGCTGAGATCACAAGCATGTGCCACCACACCCAGTTAATTTTTGTATTTTTAGTAAAGATGGGGTTTCAGCATGTTACCCAGGCTGGTCTCAAACTCCTGGCATCAAGTGATGCACCTGCCTTGGCCTCTTAAAGTGCTGGGATTACAGGCGTGAGCCACCGTGCCTAGCCCATGTCTTTTTTTTTTTTTTTTAAGAAAACACACAAAAAAAAGGTCAGAATATGAGATAAGAAAGTTCTCCTGGGGCAGC